TTTTCTCCCATAAAAGGTCGACTATTGTTCATCATCTTTAAAAAAAACGTATCCTAGCCGCCGACCTCCACACACACCAGCCCCACCCACCGCAGCGAAGCATCTCCACCGACCACGGCTCCACACATGCATGTTGTTCCACCAACCCATGCCTCAACAAACGAGTAGCTTCTCGACCGGATGCCTCAACCATGTTGCGAGTAGCACCCTAGCGCACCCAACGATGCCCGGCGTTATGTCCGCAGCAGCCTCTTGCCTACCTCTCCAACACCTCACGCAGCCCACGAGCCGAGCCTCCTTGCTCGCACGCCCGCCTATGCCGGCGCCCGACTCACCCTCGCACGTGCTTGCCCTTATCGGCCCCCTACGCTCTACCGGTAGGCCTCCTTGCACATCGGCGGCCCTAAGCCTCCAGCCGCACGAGCTCCAACAGACTCGCCTCACTCCGACCAGACACCTCCCCAATGCGCCAGCAACCACCCCCTACAGCGAGGCCTTCCCACGCTCCTCCAACAACCACCTTTCCTCCTCGGCTGACTCGGCGTTAGTCTCCATCGGGGTTAAAAAGGTCGGATCTAACTTCGAGACCATCAAGCCAATCGATCCAACTTCATTTTCTTTATAGTAATCTTTTTCACTTCTTCACTTTGTTTTTTTATTTTTTTATATATTAAATTCAATTCATGTTAATATATGTCATGTAATTAATTAAATAGATGCGATGTAATTATTGTAGTCTATTTATTCATATGTAACGTGCTTAAATTGCGATGATCTGTATTTTTTGGTTTCGCGATATGTCGATGAATGATGCGTCGGCTTGAACGTGTGGATATTTATTGATATTCGAATGCATGTTTCAAAAGCACATCTTGTACGATAACTTTTATAAAAAAATATCGAATCATGAAAGTTTGAAATGTTGCCATGTAACTCCGTTTTTGTTAAGTATGATTGGTTATGTATACCAAAGTGATTAATTTTTGTTGATTTTTTTGTTTTCTTCGATTCGATCCTATTGTCACTTCTCGTAAAAAATTTTCCAATGTGTGCTTGTTTTTTATTTCGTTGTCGATTTTAGCCTATTTTTGCCAAAGTTACAATTTTTTATTTCGTTGTCGATTTTAACCTATTTTATCCAACGCCGTCAATTTTCATTTTTCGTTTTTTATTTTAGCTTAAGCCGTCGATTTTCACTTACGTTGTCGCTTTTAGCCTATTTTCGACTTAAGTCGTCGATTTTTGCTTTCGTTGCCGATTTTAGCATATTTTAGCCTAAGATACCAATTTTCACTTACGTTGTCGCTTTTAGCCTATTTCTAGCTTAAGTCGTCAATTTTTGCTTTCGTTGTCGATTTTAGCCTATTTTAGCCTAAGCCGTCGATTTTCACTTGTGTTGTCGCTTTGAGCCCATTTTTAGCCTAAGTAGTCAATTTTTGTTTTTCGTTATCGATTTTAGCCTATTTTAGCCTAAGTTGTCGATTTTCACTTACGTTGTCATTTTTAGCTCATTTTTAGCCTAAGTAGTCGGTTTTTATTTTTCGTTGTCAATTTCGACCTATTTTAGCCTAAGTCGTCGATTTTCACTTGCGTTGTCGCTTTTAGCCTATTTTTAGCCTAAGCCGTCGATTTTTTTTTCGTTGTCTATTTTAGCATATTTTAACCTAAGCCGTCGATTTTTACTTGCGTTGTCGCTTTTAGCTCATTTTTAGCCTAAGTTCGTCGATTTTTGTTTTTCGTTGTCGATTTTAACCTATTTTAGCCAAAGTTATCGCTTTCGTTTTTCGTCGTCGATTTTAGCCTATTTTAGCCTAAGTTGTCAATTTTTTCTTTCATTGCCATTTTTGCCTATTTTTGCCTAAATTGTCGATTTTAGCTTCGTTTTTGCCTAAGTTGTCGATTTTAGCCTCGTTTTTGTCTAAGTTGCTCGATTCTTGCCTATTTTTGCTTAAGTTGTCGATTTTTTACCGTTTTGACCTAAGTTGTTAGCTTTTACCGTTTTTTTTTATCTATTTTGCCATCATTTCTAGCCATCCATTATAGAGTGAGGATGAGGTCTCCGACCGACCAAGTCCCAAATCACTTGACTTGGGGGCATTTTTATGAAAAAAGTAGAATTCGAACCAATGTTACATGCGATGTAGCTTGCTTTAGGCAAGACAGGGTAGGGTGACTTTTGATCTTCCCTACACATAATAAACCCTTTACCCGAAATTCTAAACGGACCGACCACAAGGTTTCCTAGTAATCGTAATACTAGGGGACGCGTAATACTAGGGGATGACTCCAATCATCCGCCCTACATTTTCACCTCACGGCTCGACGTCGCCTTACGACAACTAATAGAAGGCTTTCTCGCCAACCATGTGTCATATTTATGGTTGGCATAATCACAATGCCAAACGATGTGGAAAACATTTTAACAAGTCCACTAATTCTCCTTCGACAGAACTTGCTTTCCTCCAATCAACATTCCAATTATATATTCTAATCGATATCTTGATATCGTCTGCTAGATATCACATAGCTCTTAACATTACTAGCATGCAAGTCTCTACTAATTACAAAGGTATAGACAAAATTTTCATAGATAATACATCTAATTCTCTCTATAAAATATATTGATCAAGTTATCATACACTCTAACAACCACGAATTCAAATTCAAAAATATTTTACATGTTTTTGCTACGCAAAAGCAATCTTCTCTCTATTAATAAATTTGCTAAAGATAATTTTTGCTTTTTTGAATTTCCGGATAACCATTTTTCTCGTCCAAGACCGGATGACCAAGAACAAATTACTCTATAGGCCGGATAAAGATGGTCTATACAATCTTTTTGAAATTGCATTTCGATCACTTCAATAAAGACCTACAATATTTGTCAATGAGAAAGAAACTCTAAAAGAATGGTATGCAAGACTTGGACATGCTCATCATTAGGAAATTTGAAAATAATTTGGTGAAAACGAGTTGAATAAGATAATATATAACATATTTTTGGGATTAAAAAAAAAAACTTGTAAGGTAAAAGTACCCTTTTTTTTTCCTTGTAATAAAAGTTTAAATATAGGAAATTGTAGTTTCTTCTTTCAAATTCTTGTTATTAAATTTATGTCCATCGATACAAGTTAAAAGGTATATTAACATTTATTTTAATTAAAAAAATTGATATTACCAAATATATGTTATTTATGCTAATAAAAATGTAAATTCAAAAAAAAATGCAAAATGAGTATCAATTTATCTTATATTTTCATTTAAAAAAAAATTCCTCCCCTTATTTTTTTATTCGCATCTTATAATAACTAAGTGATACCATATATCTTATTCTAACATTTCAAATAAATTAATATTAATTTTTTCTTAGTAATATATCTCGGGGTATTATTATTAATAGTCAATTTGAACAAAATAAATATTAACAAATCAAATTTGACAATGAAGAAGTGTATGATAATTTGTAATTGAACGATAAAATAATTTTGCAAAAATATATAATTAAAAAAATATTAAAATTTAAAATACCCATATAAAATTAAACTAGTGCAAAAAAAAAAAAAAAAAAACATCTTCCACATAACCAAGGAATATACTAAGTTATATAAAAACAAGTAAAGTTGAAATTAAAATCATTAAACAAACTATTTTCTAAAAAAAACTATAAATGGAAACAAATCTAAAATAAGTTATATAAAATAGAGATATAATTTCAGCATAAAAATGTCTAACACATTGCAAAAATTCAACTAAAAATCAAATTAAAATCATGTTTAAATCACTATGAAACTAAAACAATCCCTATATCCACAATATGATCAAACACATCCTAATTAATCTTAAAAAATTATCCAAACTTTACAGAACACAAGTTAACATAGGGAATGTAAAAATTTAGAGGAAAGGGTTATAAAAAGCAATTAAAAGTTTGAGAATCTTAATAAAAATTATAGAAAATTTGAGAATAAGAAATTTTAAGTATCAAATTGCATCTTGTCCGTTGACGAAAATTTAGACGAATCCCAAAAAAATATAACTTTTTCTGTTTTTTTCCTTAAAAAAAAACATCCACAAGCTTTTGAAGACCATCTAGCCATTCATGTATTGAAATTCAATTTTATACTTTTTAAATCTAAAATTTCAAAACCACATAATTATAGATATATAAATTCCTTAGGAGAAAATGTTTCCTTTAATTCTGTTTTTGACCAATAGTCAAGACAACGGATGACGAAACAAGTCTAAATTATAGATATATATTTTATTTTTTTGAAAGAAGATTTTTCGTTTAATCGTGTTTTTGACCGGTATTAAAGACTCTTATCTCTTCGTTTCTTGTTTTTTTCCTAAATAAGAGTAGAGATGGTAATAGACCGCATATAAAATAGATATTCGCCTTATCCGACCTAATAAATACTCATTAAAAATATTTAATAGATATTAAAATGGATAATGGTGAACAAAATCAATATCGATTAATATAGTATTTACTTTTTATCATATTAATATCCACTAATTTATTTTAATTTTTTTCACATATACAAGAATTTAGTTGCATAAAATTTAAAAATTAAGGATTAAAATATTTTTTTCAAAAACTTTAAAGACCAAAAAAGACTCATAAAAGATCATCAAAATGAAAAAAATAAATATTAAGGACTAAAAAACTTTTCTTAAAAATTATAGAACTGAAATAAAATATTTTTGAAAAATTATTTTTAATGGGTATTAAATTAGTACTAAGTGACGAGTAAACTAATGCAAACTGAATATGAATAAGGTATTTTTTTTATATAAATAGTTTTAAAACAAAATTGAATTAATGTAATAATAACATAAAACCGTGTTTAGTGTGGGGTAGAACACATGATCACGTAAAACATCCGGACCCTTAAATCATTTCTGACACGTGTCACTCTCAGATGCACTAAGGCATTGAAAGGCATCGATCTTATTCTTACATACATGATTAGCATGCTCGTGACCTATAGCGTATATATCTACCACATTTTGTGGGGTGAATCAAATTGGCAGTGGCTTGGTTCCAGGTCACAAATGTCTGGAATGTCCGCAGCTGTCCTCATAACCTCTTCAAAATCCTCTGGCCCAATCATCATCCTCTCCTGTGGAATCTGCTCAATAGTTTTCCTGAGGCCATAGCAGCGGCACATGGAGCTCATCTCGCTTAGCCGCTGGCAACATATTTCCAAATGCTCCTCGTATGCTGGGTTAATACGACGGCGCCGCTCCCTTATACCCTCCCTTTCGCTCTCTACTAATTGCTTGACAAATTCCTGGCACTGCTCGAGATTCTCCTGCCGCATCATCTCCTGGTGACAGTCATCTAATTCTCTAAGATTTTCCTTTTCGATGATCACTGTGGTTTGGTGGATGGAGGCGTCAACTAAGAGGAGAAGGGCTGCTAAGGTCGCTACAAGAATGGTCATCAGCTGCTTTTCCATTTGGAAATTTTAGTGGATTGAATTTAAGGCCTGTATAATACTATCGATTTTTTAGGCTGTTCCTACGCATTAATATATAGGAAAGTTAGGGTCATGCATGTTGAGTACGTGTTAAATTAAAAAACTTCATCGATCTAGCACCAAAATCAGGTGCATGTCAAATGTTTGGCTATTTCTAGAATTTATTAGGCTTTAAAGAGGTGAATATGTGATGCTAGTAATCCTAGCCTAATTAACTAGATAATCCATCTCAATAATTTGATAGCGCATTATGAAGTCGATCTAAGTAAATGTTGGGCTTCAATTTTGTGGACATCTTCGATAAATCCCAAACCAAACATTTAGCTCATTAAATACAGTCTTACCTATTGATATAAGTCCAACCCAATTCAACATTCCAATAAAAAGCCCAATAAGATGAACACAGGTAAAGCCTTGGACGGTGAAGATTTTCTAACGCCCATTCCCAAATAATTAAACGCCTACAGTTATGGTGCCATTAGTAGCCTTACGGAATCATGGGGACTTTATCTTTACGCATCCTAAAAACAGAAATGGAATATCTAATAATATCTTTCGGTTTTTCTTTTTTAGAAAAATATTTTTTGGTACTATTTGGATTTTTAAAATTATTATCAAAACAGATTTTAAGTTGAATATACATCAAATTAATATATTTTTAAATGATTTTCATACAAAAAATAAAAAGTGTATTAAAAAATACTTTCAACGGCATTATCAACATACATATTTATTAACTATTTATTATTAAAATCAAATGTGGATGGAAGTGCTAATAAATATGTGAAAAGCATCAATTCACAATCCAGTACTGCTTTTTAATATTACTTACAATCGCATTATTAAATACGCATTTGTATTATAAATTCAAAAACACATCTTATTAAGTGCTCGCTTGGTAAAGGATAGCTTTTAGTTTTTTTAACTTCTAAAACTATTTCGAATTCTATTTAAAAACTAAAAATCAGAAGTTATAAAATAAATATTTTAAATCTTAAATTAAAAAAAAAACTTTTAACAACATTATACAATAAATTTAAAAAAAACTATAATAATCACTTTTTTTTCCCCGTACAAGCACACTTATTAACAATGTTAACTCGTACTTAATTTAACTCGTTCATTTTAATGTTTATAAGTAAATTTGTACTTTGATCCCTCGTTTATTTAGAAATTTTTTTTTCAATCTCAAATTTTATTTTTATTGCGGTTTAGTCTCTCGATGCGTCAAGGAGAGAGAAATGAAGAGAAAAAGGGATGACAGGATCCATTTTGGCAATCTCAATTGTCAAACTTACCATCAATTTGTTTGTTTTAAAGAATAAAATCTGTTTGTGGTGATCATAAACCATTAAATGATTGAAAAAAGTAGATCGAAATAAAAAAATATTGTGATTTTTTTTAGTTTGATTTGAGTTTTTGTGTATTTTGCATGTAGTAAAATGGGTTGTGAGGTTATAAATGCGCTATTGACGTTATTTTCCGTAATTTTGGATAAAAATACCGAATTTAGATCTTGGGAGGTTGGAAATTAAACACACGATTTTTTGGTGACTTTTTCGACAAAATAAGTTTGTTGAGAATTGCGGACATATGACAAGTTCTTTATTGTGCAACGAACAAATGACGCATCGTACATTTTTTTCGAGCTAGGTCCTCCAGCCCCAAATAGGTAGGCCTAAACTTGGGTTTTTTTAAAAAAAATTTAAGTTTTTTTTTTTGATAATTTTTAGATAAAAATTATGGAAGATTGAATGTTATTATATATTTTTTTCCACATAGCTTGATGATGATAAAATATATATAATATTTTTCATATATATTTTAAAATTAATATATATTTTAGATTATATTATGCTTATTATTTAAAATGTATTCTTTCAATTTGTCTTCTTTTTTTATGAAATTTCTTATTTAATTAATTTTTCATTATATATATATATATATATATATATATATAATAACTAAAAGTTAAAAATGTATTTGAGATGATTTATCTCGATCCACTAAGTAGTTATAAAACATGGGCTCGTTACCATTTTGTTTTCCACGCATAAATTTTATAATGCAACCCTTATGTTTATTCTACATATTTGTTGAATTAGTCATGAAACTAATTTCTAGCTGAATTAGTTTAACCATCGACTTATGATAATTGATGGTACTACATTCTAAATAGATTGGTCCACCTTTTCAACACTCAAGAGAAGAACATAAAACTTGAAAGGCAAAAAAAAAAAAAAAAGACTATGAGAATTTTAGAACATGATTGTTTTTTCTTCTTTGATATATATAAAACCTAAAAGTTAAAAATATATTTGAGATAATTTGTTTGGGTCTACTAAGTAGTCATGAAACATGAGCTCATTAACCTTTTGTTTTCCACACACACATTCCATAATGCAACTCTTATGTTTATTCTACATATTTGTTGAATTAGTCATGAAACTAATTTCTAGCCGAATTAGTTTAACCATTGACTTACGATATTGATGAGACTAAATTCTAAATAGATTGGTCTACTTTTCAACACTCTAGAGAAGAGAAAAATACTTGAAAGGAAAAAAATAAGCTTGAAGTCTTGAAAGCCGAGAGTGCGAAGAGTAGAGGACTCGAAAGAGAAGGGACCGAAGGACACCAAATAAGGGAGGTGTCGAGATGGCTCAAAGTCATAAGAGGAGAGGGCGATGTTTGACATTTTTTTAGTATTTAGAGAAATAACGAGAGCTAGGTTGTGAAATACTTCGAGAGATTATCGATAGTGAAAAGAGAGGAGATGAATGACGAGTTAAAGGCTACGTGAGGATAAGATAAGAGAGGGCTACAACCGCAAAAGAAGGGTTAGATAGGGAGATGTTTAATGTGAAATACTTTGTATATTAATTGTAAGTGTTTATATATCGGAGTATATATAGAGAAAATAGTAAAGTTGTGTCAGTATAGGTGCCTAAGATCTAACTATGTTTGGATGAGTTTGAGTCATTGTATCATTGCATGATTTATAATAAATAATTCTTTCTATTAATTTACGTCATTTACGGTTATTGATTGAATAGAATTAGAGAGAAGTATATATGATATGCATTTTGTATTGGTGATTGATCGAAAGATATGAGATAAACACTAATGCACATAAATGATATCATTAAATGTCTTAGGTCGTAGCACTATCAAGAACGAACATTGATTATATACGATTAGACTTATGAGTGTTATGCTCATGCTATATAATAGCAATAGAAGATCTCACACCTATTGGCATGATGATGCCAAAGTAAACACTTAGGTAATTTATATCATAAAACATATCACTAGACTTGACTTGCCATGAGAACCAATTTGGTTTAATCTATAAAAATCTCATACGAGACGGATACAAGTAATCCTTAAATTTGAAGTCATCATATTTATCTCATTAAAGGATTTATGCACTTTGACACTCGTTTTGATGGACCTAATAAAGGGTTGCACGTGAGCGATTTGTTAGGTGCATTAAAAATCTAATAAAGGTATGTGTATTACTAAGATAGGACATGGCATTCCTCGTGTACTAAAGGAGTTATCGCATTGCACTTTGATAAATGTCTCGCTCAAGAAATCTATGATCATAGTAGGAGTACACCAATAGAGCATAGTTGGTTTACTCTAAGAGCTAAGATATTAAAGAATTGAAAAAAACTTATATGATCATAATCGAACAAGACTTATAACCAAGTTTGAGATCACATTGTGATAAGTTGACATGATGATTGAATTATATGGTAACCATGCTCATGAAAGGTAATAATGAATCAATTAATCCTTTTAGAGAATTGGTTAGTCATGATGTCTCGCTTAGAGGCCAATCTTGATTTATGTATCAAGAATAGTATCAAGAGATAAAAGAGGAGTCTTTTATTTTTAATATATTGTCAATATATTTAGGAACATATTGAGTCACACGTATAAGTTTAAGTATTCACATGATTAAAGAGAAGCAAAAACATTGAAAAAAATTTTCAATTTTGAAAGTTTCCTATTTTAGAAAAGGTTTCCAGAAATGAAAAGTTTCAAAATGAAAAATTTTCTTAAATAGAAGTTTCCTAAAATGAAAAGTTTTATATTTTAAAAATTAGTTTCCTAATTTAGAAGTTGGTTCCAAATTTGGAAGTAAATAACCTAAAATAGAAATGAGTTTCATAATTTAGGTTAAAGGGTATTTTGAAAAATAGCTTCCTAATATGGGCCACTTAAAATTATCTAAGATTATTTATTTGGATAGTCCAAATAAATTAATTGGGCTAGAATGATTTTAGCCTAATAGGTTTAATTAAAAGCTTAAAGATATTTTGATTGGAGGATAAAAATCAACCTTATTAGATAAGAATGAATATTTTAAAGATAAAGATAAAAAGCCTATATGTAAAATAACTCCTAATCCTTTAAGGATTAGGAAGTAACAACCTAGAGTCCTTAAGGGACTCATTGCAGCGCCACCTTGTCCTTGGAGGACAAGAAAGTTTCTCCTATAAATATATGGAAAAGAGAGGTGCAAGCATAAAAAAAAAAGTAAAAAATTAGAGGGAAGAAATTCGACAAAAAGGGAAATTCTCTCTAGGTACATGGCAAAAAGCAAAATAAAAGGAGACAATAGTTTTCTACTAAAACCATAATACATGCCACTTTTTCTTTTCTTTTAAGGTTGTTGTAAACTTCCCCGATTAGATTTTTATAGAAAACACTACATAAATCAAAAAAGGTGGAGCTAGCACTCTACCAATTTATGTGCTTCTTTATGGGTGCTTGGATTGCATAGATCATCAATAGAGGTCGAACACTTGAACGACTTTTCTACTAAAGAATTTAGATCTACGTTACAAGAGGTATGATAGAGGAAAATTTTTGTTTATTCCATACCTTCATAGGATGCATGATCTTTCAAGTTGGTACAACAATTTAACTTTATTTTAAATATAAGATAGAGTCTTAAAGATGACATC